CGGAAGACGCACACGGGCGAACGACCTTACCGGTGTGAGGAATGCGGGAAGAGCTTCAGGCATAGATCAACGTTGACCATCCATCACCGCGTGCATTCGGGGGAGAGGCCCTACAAATGCCCCGAGTGCCACAAGAGCTTCAAGAACAGCTCGGAGCTGGTGCGCCATGGGCGGATCCACACCAGCGAGCGACCCTACGATTGCTCCCAATGTGGGCGGCGTTTCGGTGACACCTCCCAACTGGTGCGGCATTGGCGGATCCACACCGGCGAGCACAACCATCCCAACCCAACCTGCGGGAAGAGCTTTTCCAACCGTCCCAGGCTCACCAACCACCGACTGGTGCACACCGGTGAGAAGGATTACCACTGCCCCGACTGCGGCAGAGGCTTCAACCGTCGTTCCAACCTCCTGGTTCACCAGCGGTCCCACCTGGAGCAGAAACCCTTTATTTGCCTGGATTGCCCCAAAAGCTTCACCTGCAGCAACCAACTCATCCAGCATCGGCAGATCCATAGCGAGGAGAAGCCTTAGGGTTGCGCCGAGAGCGGCAAGAGCTTTTGGGACAGCTCCCGTCTCGTCACCCCACGCAAACGGGAAGATGGTGGACCACCCCATCAGGGAACAACCCCATCCTGGTGGCATCTCAGACCTACCTACACATGACGGTGGTCCCTGGTGGTAGCACCGAGGGGTAACTGACCCATCCACCCACATCCCACCAGCTATTATTTTTCTTGCCCTATATGTTTTTATATATAAAGGTTTTTTTTGGGAGGGTGTTTTTAAAAAAAGACAGCCCCATCCTCTATTTTTTTGCCTTAGATTATAGATGAAGGGAGACCCATGAGCTTCACCCAAGAAAAAAGAAATCACGATAAAATGGGTTTTTTTGCTAGATGTCTCAGTTCAATTTCTTTATTTTTTCAACCCTATTTAGGGTCTTTTTAAGGGATGGATCAAAAGAAAATGACGGCCAAAATAAAAGCATTTGCGTGTTGGCATCGTGTGAGTATCTCTGTGGTGGTGACAAAGCGGGGGCTGTGTGGGTGGAAGAGCCTTTTTTGGAGGGGAAAACCGAAAAAATTCCCCAGTTTTGGGGGGCCGGGAGCATCTTCTGCGCCCGGAGGGTGTGAGACCCCCCAGGAAGCGGCTGCAGGGGTGGTGGGGCTGGAGTGGAGACCCTGGAGCTGGGATCAGACTCTCCAGCCCTCTCTGTTTCCCTTGGACAAGGATGAGGGTTCAAACCAAACCACGGATGAGGTTTATTAGGCGCCGAAGGTTATGTCGTAGGGGTGCAGCATCCTTCCAAATTGTGGACACCACAAGCCCGCGTGTCCTCCTTGCCCTCCACCCATCCACGGAGTTGTCCCACCATTCCCATCCTTGCAGCACCATTGGGAAAATTCAACCTTAGAGTTGGCCAAGCCCCAGCCTGGATGAAAACAAGGTGTTTTGGGTTCAACGAGGCCATACCAAGGCAGCGAGTGGAGGAAAAGTTTATTGCAGTTGAGTTCTTGTTCGCTTTTGGCAGCACTAAGGGAGCAAGAGCAGGACTTGGAGTTGGGCTGTGCCCATCTCCATCCCTAAGATGTTGCAGGAGCCTCTTCTGAAGCCCTGTGGACAACTCAAAGAGTTTATTCATCCAAAGACGAACCGTAGATGGGCAGGACAGAGGTTGCATGATGCCACCGAATAACATCACGTGAAAAAAAAAACCAACCCACCTGTAAATGAGGAAGAATTCAGCCTGCTGTGTCCCAACAGGGTTGTGGGACCGTTTTCACCCCATTTCTTCCTTCCCGAAGAAGCTGAGTCCCAAGCGGTGTCTTCAAACTCTTGGTCTGTGCCCAAATCCATCCACCATTTGGCTGTGGAAGAAGCCCGTGGTCCATATGGTGTTGCTTGATGCCACCAGAAGAAATTATTGGACCAAGCAGACGTGACTTTTCGGAGTCTAAAGCCAACGAGTCCACTCTTCCTAATGAATTTCTGCCATTGGTCTGCGTCCCACAGCTGAGCCCATCTCAGCAAATGGATGTTCCTACCTGCATTCATCCAGGTCCCTATGGGGAACCAGGAAGATGTGGGGAACCACCAGCCAGGTCTCTACCCAACGTGGGTCACCAGATCTTTACCCAACGTGGGTCCTCCGATGGGTAATGAAGTTCGAACAGCGGATAAAGCTCTTCCCGCAGTCGGGGCACTCATAGGGCTTCCCTTCCCGGTGAGTCCTTTGGTGTTTAATCAAGGCAGAACTCACGGTGAAGCTCCTACCGCACTCAGGACACTCGTAGGGCTTCTCCCCGGTATGGATGCGTTGGTGGGTCATCAAGTTGGAGCTGCGGTTGAAGCTCTTCCCACAGTCGGGGCAGCGGTAAGGTCTCTCACCCGTATGTGTCCGCTGATGCCTGATGAGGTCCGAGCTGTTCCTAAACCACTTCCCGCAGTCAACGCACCTGTAGGGCTTCTCCCCGGTGTGGACACGCTGGTGGATGATGAGGCTGGAGCTCTGGCTGAACGTCTTCTCGCACTCCTCGCACTTATAGGGTCTCTCCCCGGTGTGGATCTTCTGGTGGCGGATCAAGTAGGAGCTGACGCTGAAGCTCTTCCCGCACTCGGGACACTTGTAGGGTCTTTCCCCGGTGTGGGTGCGTTGGTGGGACGTGAGGTTGGAGCTCTGGTTGAAGCCCTTCCCGCAATCGGGGCATTTGTAGGGCTTCTCGCCGGTGTGCAAGCGTTGATGGGTGATGAGCGTGGAGCTGTCGCTGAAGCTCTTCCCGCAATCGGGACACTTGTAGGGCTTTTCCCCGGTGTGCAGACGTTGATGGGTGATGAGATGGGAGCTACGGCTGAAGCTCTTCCCGCACTCCAAGCACTTGTAGGGCTTCTCGCCGGCGTGCAACCGCTGGTGCACCGCCAGGTTCGAGCTACGGCTGAAGCTCCGACCACATTCCTCGCAGATGGTTGGTCTTTCCTCCTCCGAGCTTCGTGGGGTGGGTTTGCAACCTCTCCCCGTGGAGCATCTTCTTGGCTTTTCCTCTTTGTTGACCTCCTGCCCCGTGGAGCATCTTCTTGGCTTTTCCTCTTTGTTGATGTCCTGCCCCGTGGAGCATCTTCTTGGCTTTTCCTCCCCGTTGACCTGCTCCATGGAGCCCTTCAAAACAGCCTCTTCCGCAAGGTTCTGCCAGTGGGATTTCTCCTCCGTGTTCTCCATCCCCATCTCATCGCCTGCCGGAGGAAGGAACAAGGAGAGGAAGGAGATTTGCATCCGTGCCAGAGGGAAGAGGAAGGAGATCCTCCCAGATCCGTCTCCGGGAGGACGGCGTGAGCAATGGGGCTGTCCTGCAGCCAGAAGTGATGCTTGGCTGGAAGATGGAGGAGAAGAGAGGATGAAAGGTCGAGTGAATTCCTCCTCACCTGCCTGGGTATCTCGTAGCATCTCCTCTTCCTCACAGCCTTTTCCTCTTGATCTGGCCAAGGTTTGGGAATGGGAAATCCTGGTTTTGGGGGGGAAAACAAGCTGTGAGCGCATTCCCCAGTTTGGGTTGTGGGTTGCTCCTGCCCAAATCCATCCCTAGCGGGAAGTCAACGGGCAGGACACCACCAACACCTTGTGTCCATAAAATCCTCCAAAACACCAAGATATAGCCCAAAAAACTCTCCAAAACACCAAGATACAGCCAAGACGTGGGGCCAGCCTTATACATGCAAAGATCCATCCTCAAAAGAGAGGTGGAGAAGAAATAAGGAGCTTGTCCTGCTTTGGATATATGGATATGGGAAGAGAAGGATCAGCATCATGTCCCTGCAAGCCCTGTCCCACCAGAGCTGGAGAGGGGACAAGGACAACGGCAAGGTCAGCGACGTCCCTAGCTGCAACTCAGCCCCAAAATCACTTGCTCTCAGCCCAAAACCACCCAACGCGGCACCCAGATGTGGGTAGGAAAGAAACGGGACTGTGATGGACCAGCCGGTTTGACCCAGAGAGGTGGGGGTCTGCAACCAGCCCCCCCTTTAGGCTATTGCCCCCACTTTAGGCCATTGCCCCCACTTTAGGCCATTGCCCCCCCTGTGTTGCACAGGGGGAAACTGAGGCAGGGATCACCAACCCCAAAAAGGGGTCCCATAGGGCTGGGGAAGAAAAGAGCTCTGGGATCCCCCTTCCCTGTTCC